AGTGAATGGGAACCATCTTGGCCCCACAGGCCAACTTTTCTTGTTCCCTAGGACCAAAAGTTTACTCTCCTTTGGAAACAGCCATTTTGATGGCTAACTGGTGGGTACCAGGCCACAGTGCAACACTGCCCTTGGCCTGCTGCCTTCAGAAGGGAGCCTAGGGGCAGGGCTGGTCTCCAGACAGTCCAAGCCCCTCCCCACCACACCCATTAACAGGGAGAACAGGCAGGAAGCAGGAAGACCCGGACCTTCTCCTGAAGTTGGGGCTCAGGGAAGAGTCAGTCTGCCCCAGAACATGCTGAATATGATGACGAGAGTCAGAAATGCCTGGGCTGAGGGTCAGGGGGACATAGAGAGCACACATGGCTGTCCAGCAGCTCCTCCCCTTCCATCTAAGCATCTGTTCCTGTCTCCCTGGAAGAAACAAAGTCTCCTTCAGCCCTGATCCCTCGACCCACTGCCCTGCCTTTCTCCCTCCCTTGCAAGCTTCCTGCAAAGGTACAGCCTGCACTTTCTCCACCCACAGCCCTCTAGCTTCTGTCCCCACCACTCTGCTGAATTACTCTGGCAAAAGTCACCAGCGACTTCGACTGGCGTCTCTATAGATGGGTTTCCTGGATCCTTTTTTTCATGACATTCTCCCCTCCCCGACCTGCCCTGGTTTCTCTATCCCTGGCTATTCTTTCTCCCCCACAGGCAACTCTTCCTTGCCTGCTTCCTAAAATGCCAGTGCTCCCCAGAGTTGCCTGGACCCTCTTCTCGTCTCACGCAACACACTCTCCCAAGGCTGACTTGTCCCTCTCCAGTGGCTCCCACCACCCCCTTGGGGCTGAGGACTCCAGCCATTGCTACCAATTGCTGGCTATGGATCGCCCACATGGCTGTCCTCCACACCCTCCCACTCAGCACACACAGTGAACTAACTCCCAAACATCTGGGAGAAATCTATACAACACCTTCCCACCCCCAAACAACCTGCTTTTCCTCCTGTATTCCTTACTTCCATCGGTAGATCCACCACCTGGCAAATCACCAAAATTAACAAACTGGGAACCATCATGGGCCTTCCTCCTTCTTCCCCTGCACCCAGTCGGACCCCAAACACCTCCAGTTATAATTACCGACTTTCTCAAATCCCTCCCCGTGGCTCATCTCCTGCCTAAATCATTGCAATAACGTTTTTACTGGTCTCGCACGCCTCCTCTCTCGAACAGAGGGAGCTTTCTAAACATACAATTGATCCTCATTTTTCATGGGTGCCATATTTGTGAGTTTGTATACTCACTAAAATGTATTTGTTTAGCCCCTGAATCAACACCCATGGTGCTTTCGCAGTCGTTCATGGACACACACAGAGCCATGAACATTTTGAGTCGCCCAATGCGCATGTTCCCAGCGAAGGCTGAACAAGGCGACACTCTGCCTTCTTGCTTCAAGCTCTCAGACTGTAAAACAAGCATTCTATTTCCGGTCGATTTATTGCCACTTTTTCACACTTCGGTGCTTTTCAGAAAGTGATGTTGCTGTTTAAACCGGCCCCCATGCATAGTGCTACAGTGCAGTCTAGTATTCCTGTGTGCAGGAAGGCTGTGATGTGCCTTAGGGAGAAAGCACGTGTATTAGATGAGCTTCGCTCAGGCATGAGGTATAGGGCTGCTGGCCTTGAGTTCAATGTTAATGATTCGACAGTGTATAGGAAATAAGATGTCTTTAAACAGAAACATACACAAAACAAGGTTATGTATTGTTCCCGTGAGGAAAATGTTGCAACCAGAAGCTAGGGAGAACCTAACTAACCCTGTGTGTCCCCCACTGACAAAGTTTCAGTATTTGCTAATTCGGTGTCTGTTGAGACTTTACACAATGTAACTACCATGAATAAAGAGAATCAACTTTGCCAATCTGACCATGTAGCTTCCTTGTCCCCCCAGACCTCCACCCCCACCCCCTGCACACAGACACATCCAAACTCCCTAGCACAGTGTTCCAGGTCTTTCCTGGTCCAAAAGGTCCTTGCTGCCCTTCCCTTTGGTGCCCCCTCCCACCCCCAACCCCAGCCCACTCTCTAAAGCTCTTCGGTCATCTTTCACCAAGGTCCTCTGCACACTCTGTGCCCTCTGCCTCAAAGGCTTCTCCTCCTCATCTCCTCTTGGAAAACTCCTACACATCCTTCAACACCCAGCTTCAATGTCACCTTGTTCTCCCTCTGGCAGAACTTGGCACTCCCTTCTCTGTTACATGTCTCATCGCACTTCTCGCAGTGTTGTACCTGATCCATTTGTGTGTCTCCTTTCTCCTGTACTTGGCAATAGTTGTGGGGTTTTTTTGTGGGGGGGGGGAGTATGGAGGAGGAATAGATGTGTGTGACTCTCCTTGCAGGGTGTGTGCATTTCATACATCCTTCATTCAGCGAACATAAATGGAGGCTTAACTTGGTACCAGGCACCATTCTAAGCACCAAGGGTACAGCAGTGAACAAAACAAAGTACTGCCCCTGTGTGTCTGTAAGTGTGGCCGGTGTGTGTGTACACGTTGCGACTATGTTGTGCTTTCTGTGGACCTGTGATGTTTGTGGCTCCTGGACACACCATCCATTGAATTCTGGCCCCATGTGACCTACTAATAAAAGGCATCTTAGAGTTAATGAGGCCAACAGTCTGTGCCTATGCACTAATGTGAAACCTCCCAGGGTGCTCCCTGCCTGCCCCCCCCCCACCTCTCCGACTGTCACTATCTGGCCCAAGTTTTGCCTTTTGAACCCAAAGACAACATCCATCCACATGAGATTTTTCTCTGGTGACTATGTCTTTCTCCTCCTCCCTTCTCTGCCTTCCCTACATCTCAGAGAGAAAAGGCATAGGAATACGGCAAGGGGAACGAAGCCTTTTTTTTTTTTTTAAGATTTTTTATTGGGGAATTGGGGGGATGGGAACAGTGCTGGGGAATTGGGGGAAGGGGAACAGACAAGTTGCTGTCATTTTTTTGTTC